TCACGGGCCGGGGGGTTGTCCTCGCGGCGAGCGGGATGCCTCAATGCCGAAGGGGTCCTCGAGGCGGAGGGCCTCAGGGCCGGCGGTGGGGCAGGGTCCTCAAGGTGAGGTGCATCGGGGGTCGGGGGGTCATGGAAGGGTGCTCGAGGTTGGGTGCCTCAGGGGCGGGAAGTGGGGGTCCTCGAGGCGCGGTTCACGTATACTCACACTATTTTTTAACGCCCATTTTTGCATTTACAAGGCCTATTTTAAGAATTTCCCAAATTCCCTTATTTTTTGTATGTATTAGCCATGGATTATGTGGCTAGAGAAGCCAAAAAAAAATTCTCAAAATTTTTTATGAGGACTTCCGTAATGAGATGGGGAACCTTCTACTCTCACACCATTTTTAACGTCATTTCCGCATTTACGCCCCTTTTTAAAAATTGCTCAAATTTCCCCATTTTTCGTGGTTCTAATGCTCGGAGCATCCAATTTTTTTCTCAAAAAACTTTATGAGGACCTCCGTAATGAGTTCAGGAACCTTCATGTATATGCTCACACCATTATTTAATGCCCATTTCCATATTTATAAAAAAAAATTAGGAATAACCCAAATTTCCCATTTTTCGTGGCGCCCGAAGCACCTAAATTATTTTTTCCCAAAACACTTTATGACCTCCGTAATTAGTTGGGGAACCTTCACGTATATTAAAATTATTTTTAACGCTCATTTCCGCATTTACAACCGCCTTTTTAATAATCGCCCAAATTCCCCAATTTTCCATGCACATAAGCCTAGAATCTGGCGCCCAAAGCACCCAAAAAAAATTTCTCGAAAGCTTTATGAGGACCACCGTAATGAGTTACGGGACCTTCATGTATAGTCACATACTTTTTTAACGCCTATTTTCCGCAATTACAAGCCCTATTTGAAGAATCGTCCAAATACCCCAATTTTTCGTGTGTCCAAAGAACTAGCACCAGGAGAGCCCAAAAAAAAATTCGCAAAAAAATTTATGAGGACTTTCGTAATGAGTTTGGGATCCTTCATGTATACTCACACCATTTTTTAACGCTCATTTCCTTATTTACAAGCCCTTGTTTTTAGGAATAGCCCAAATTTTTCCAAATTTTTCGTGTATTAATTAAATTAGCCCATGGATCTGACGCCCGAATCACCCAAAATTTATTTTTTTTAAAAACTTTATGAGTCCCTTCGTAATGAGTTGGGGATCCTTCACATACACTCACACCATTTTAACGTCCATTTCCGCATTTACGAGCCTTTTTTTAAGAATTTCCCAAATTCATCAATTTTTCGTGTGTATTAGCCCATACATCTGGCGCCTAGTGATCCAAAAAACAATTCTCAAAAAACTTTATAAGATCCTCTGTAATGAGTTGGGAAACCTTCACGTATACTCAAACCATTTTCTTAACGTCATTTCCGCATTTACAA